TGTCCCACGTCACAGGGCTGACCTCCTTGAAGCTTTCCCTGACTCCTCCAGATAAGGTACACACACCTGCCCCATCTCTATTTTTTATGTTCTTTACAGCACTGACGAGTATCTACACTTGTCTAATTCATGTACTTCTGTCCCCTTGTTTATTTTCTGGCTCCCAACGGGACAATAGACACCTTGTCAGTGGTACTTATTCATGGGTCTCTGGCAACAGACCCCTGGCACATGGTAGGCTTTTGAGAATTTTCTCTTTCTCTAAAGGTTGTAGCACTGTTGGCAGAATTAATCTATAGAATAGGTACGTAGAAACCACAGAAAACACAGTGAATACTTAATCAATGGCAGTCCCTCTTCCTTGCATGGGTCCAGAGAATGGCTGGCTCCAAAGCAAAGAAAGACAATCTGGAAGGAAAGCAAGGAAGGGGACAGGGGTCCAAGGCTAAGTCAGTTGGGTTTCTGAGGTTCGTTCTTTGCCGGGACACAGTGGATGCTTCACAGGGGGTGGAGTCTCAGATTTTCCTTTTAGGATAGAAGTTTCAGGCAATGGAGGAAGAGGTTTTGAAAGTAAGTGGACAGGCGTGATTCTGAGGCAAATCATCTGGAGAAATTGTTCACAGGAGTCTTATGACCTAAGGAGGGGGAAGACCAAACACCATCATAGATTTAGAAGAAAAAGCCCGGTCCAGTGGTGCCTGGGTGGCTCAGTCACTTAAGCATCTGCCTTCAGCTCAGGTCATGATCCCAGGGTCCTGGGATCAAGCCCCGCATCGGGCTTCCTGCTCAGTGGGGAGTCTGCTTCTCCCTCTGTTCCCCCATCCCTACCCCTGCCTCATGCTTGTGTGCTCTCTCTCTCTGAAATAAATAAATAAAATCTTAAAAAAAAAAAAAATAGAAAGAAAAAGCCTGGCCCAGCTGCTTCGGGTTTTAGGCTGCAAAGAAGGCTCCTTCCAAGGATGTAATTATTATATTAGAATGGATAATACATTACATTATAACATTATAATATTACATATTATAATCATTATATTGTCATTATTATATTATAATATTAATGAGCAGAGATGGGGGATCCAAATCTACCTGTTCCCCACCCTGTTTTGATGTATGTACGATGGGGTTCCCAGGAAATTTATGTATGAAAAAAGGATTTTGATTTGAAAACCTAACTCTTGTCCACCCCCTGCATTTTATATGTGAGATGATGGAGGCTCCAAGGACTAAACAGAAGAGTTGAGATGAGTACCGTGTCCTGAATGCTAACGGCATCTTTCCATTGCCCCATACTCAGAAGAGATTGAGCCTGGATTTCAAAAACACCTACTCTAGGCCTAACATCCCATGGGCTCCAGGGTAAGGGAGCTGGACTCCAGACTCTTGGATGATTCATGACACCAAAAAAGGTTTCAGTCAGGAAGCACATGCTTAATGACCTCTGGATATACTGCTGTCCAGCTGCCTTGAATGGTTCCTATAGTGCGTGCCCCTGAGAGTGGCTGGGCCAGACCCTTCCCCATCCTCTGCTCTTGGGATGACCATCTCAGCTGCATCCGTCCCAGGGCATGAGGCCCTAACAAAGGTGGCAGACAGGTAGAAGCACACTATCTAAGGGTCCTGGGCTTCTGGCTTTACCTTTAGGAGACCCTGATGCCGGAAACAGAAAATTCTCCAGCTTCAAGCACCAAAGCTTCTAAGAGATGGGCTGGGCTACCAAAATTACAGAGAAGCTCCACAAAACTGAGGCATGGGATTGACTTTGGCATTTTATTGTATATTCAAAATTCAGTCACTTGTTTTGAGACTTAAGATTTCCGTCAATATATAATTTACATAAATATGTACAGAATGCGTAAATAGAAACAGATATGAAATTTATCAATATTTGTCAATAAATAGAATTTATCTATTACAAAAACAAGTCTGTGTTGGTTCCTGTTTTTCCCAGAATGCATTCCTGGGAACGGCATTAAAAGCAGATCATCATAAAGCCAAGGGTATTTTCCATAGAGACAAATTAGAATGAGGGATCCCAGTACCTTCAAAGCTGAAATAAATCATAGGTATAACTAATAATTTCATAAAACCAAAGATACAACCATCATTTAAGTTTGCAATCCTTTGAAATTATATAAGTTTCATGTTCTATATAACAGGCACACATGTACATTACATGTTGATTACACAGGCCACTCAGTGCATTATAAACAGTAAGAGTGACCCCATTCTAATTCTACTTCACTGAAAATGTAAACCAAATTTAGGTGGTGGCTAAATAGCGTTAAAGCATAATTAACAATAATTTACACTGGCTATCAGATTAGAAAAAAATTTTTAAATTGTCTGATTCAGTAGCTCAGTAGATTATGTAACAACCTTGTCAGCTGCTCGTTCATAATTAATTCATGTTTGAGTTTTTTATTTTCACAGAATATATATATATATAATTTACGGAGTAGGGATAATTTCGAAGACCCAGGTCTTTTTTCTCCAAATAAATGTTTTCATGGCAAAAAGGCATTTGAATTTTTGTCAGGTGACTTTAAAGTTTCATGAAAGCGAGGCTCATTCTTACCAAAATTAGCTTGTGGTCACCATCTCCCCCCACCGACTCCTTTAAGAACAATATCCCTTCAAATGAGAATGTTTCTGCTATATAAATTTGCAGTGTGGGTGTATGCAATAACCAAATGAGGACGGGTGGATTTGGAAGAAAGAACCCCTAAAAGGTGTTCCTTTGGTATTGTTTTTCAACATGGGAAGCTCATTCTCTAAATTGGTTCACATCTTGGTGAGAAAATTCTTCTTCCTTGGGAGCCCAGGAGCATCCAAAGTAATCCAAAGTAATAATAAAAATACAAAATGGCATTTTAGGACTTACAGGATGTTTTCACAAAAATTATCGTATTTATCTCCACAACAACTTTGCGAAGTAGGCAAAAGGGATTCTTTCAGAGGCCAGAGAGGTTGAGGGTCCCACAGCAAGTCAGCAATGATTCACTGCCCATAGCACTTCTCTACCATGTCCATCTCTCCCTCCTGCTCACAAAGGCAATGGGAAGCATGTAAAGCGGAGCAGAGAGTTTGGGGGTCATCGCCAGGTTCAGGGCCTTGGGACTTAGAGCTTTGCTGCTCCCTCTTTTGTATTGAGAAAGGACCATCCTCAAGACCATGGTTGCCCCCTAAGCCTAAACGTAGTCGGCAGAGAACAGGGACTTGAAAAAGCGAAGGAGATTGGTCCAGCCAGAGTCAAGGTGCCAGTTAGGACTCACATAAACTGTCTTCATCATGGATGAGACTAGATCCCCAGTTCAATCTGATCTCCACTGATGGGTGAGAATTCCAGCCTAGACAGGGAACATTTCAGCGTCGGGCAGTATTTCTCAATAGCAGTCAGGAGTACTAAATAACATTTCTCTAGAGGCCTTTTCCCTTCCCTAAGGCATGACTTTCTCCCCAATAAAAGTAAGTCTTTACAGGACAGAGGTTTTTTGTTGTTGTTTTTTTGTTTGTTTGTTTGTTTTTGCATTTAGATGGTTTGGGGGCAATCTTTTCTTCCTTATTCCAGTCTCTTTCCTATCCGGTTCAATTCCAGAACTAAAGTCAACATCAGTGGAAATGGTAACTGGCATCTCTTAAGCAGCAGGAACGATGAGTATGATAAAGTCCTGAGATGCTATCAAATTACAGCCAAGATCACTGTTAGAACCTCACATGGCTTCGGGACACGGCAGTGTTTATTTCCCTGGGACTTTTACTCTGGGGCAGTTGGTAAGAGCCAAAGACTCAGCTTTGAATAAAAGACATCCGGGTTAATCTGAAGGGCAAAGTTGGCAAGTTCAAGAGTCTAGAAGGCCCAAATGAGGAGGGTGGTTCCTTTTGAAACAGAGTCAAAAGGCAGGCAAGCCATGGCTTTTTGAGGTAGCTGAGGGATGTAGCAGCATCCTTGGTCCTAGAAACAGAAAGGGATCTTGGAGATCCCTGAGTCCGAACTTCAGTTCACAGATGTAGAAAGTGAAGTCCAGGAATGGAAGGGCATGGGCCAAGATCCCACAGCATGTTAGGAGCAGAGCCAGGGCTGGAATCGGGGTCCCTGACTTCAAGTCAAGCACTGTTTTCCCACCCCAGCACTGCTTAGTCCGGCCCTCCTCCACCTGCAGTGAGGGTCAAGTCTCCCCAGTGTGAGCTGCCAACAGTTCTCTCCTTTGGGAGCAACAAGGCCAGATTCAAGGCTTTTAAGCTGCTACTGTGGGCTTTGCCACAAGTTCAAGGGAAAGATTCCGAAGTCTTTAATAAACACGAGAACGTTGTTGGCCCTGCCCAAGGCTCTTTAGCAGAAGACGCCCGGTTCTAGTCCAAGAGGGAAGCAAACATCTCTGAGCAGCAGGGCCCGAGGCCCCGGCACTGGGGGAAAGCTGTCTTTGGCCAACCTCCAAGGGCGTCGCAGAGACTGTTGTCCTCGGGTAGATCTCTGCTCCCATTTCTGCCACGGTAAATAAATGGAGCATGTCCTGAAGAGGACTGACACCAGCCTCAAGGCAGAGTGAGTGGGAGTCTGCAGCTGACATGGGGGCTAGCCAGGAGGATGCAGGTTTGGACCCAGGCGCCAGGAAGAAAGCGTATTAGTGATCGGCCCAGAACAGGACAGAGACGGGACAGCGAGCAGTTTGCACATGGCTGTAGCAGGCGTGAACAAGTAAGAAATGCGTGCTTTTGGAACACGGCTCTGACCAAGACAGGCGCCAGGAGAACGTGTTTGACAATGTCTGTGAGCAGACACAGCAAAGAAGGCATATTTGGAGACATCTATGACTGCGATAGGACACAATGACTGATCGTATTTGGAACATGAGAGAGACAAACCAGGAACAGGAAGGGGACATATTGGGGACAACAGAGAGTGTGAGGCAAGGGCAAGACGCCAGGAAGAGGGAGAGCTGGAAAATGAAAAAAAAAAAAAAAAATCCCTTCGCAGGGGATCTCTGGAGGAGAAACCCCCGGAACAAGGAGGCCTCCTGTCCCCTAAGTCCCTCCAGCGCCACCTGCTGGAGCCTTAGAGAAAATCCCCGGTGGGCGTGGCTGCCTGGCGGAAGGCGTGGCGGAGAGAGTGGCAGGAGCGGTCCCATACACGCAGCAGCTTAGAACCTGCCCTCTCTCGGAGGGATGGCTGTCTTCTGAGTCACTGCCCCAGGGCCTAAGGGTCGCTGGGCTGAGTAGCCACCAAAGAAGAAGTTGCTGGAGGGTGGCAGTGACTCTCCCATTGGCCACCACACTCCACCGCATCCCTGGAGAGGGGAGATCATAGCGCCTTAGATTTGGAACGGACCTCCCCGATGATCTCAGCAAAGGGCCCACCCAGTGCAGACGAGCCCCTCGTGCCATGCAGATGGGTGGTCGTTTAGACCCTACTTAGGAATCTCCAGGGACCCGCCAGGCCTTTATTATTTTTGAGCAACTTTAGTTATTAGAAGAACTTATTAATGTTCAGCCAAAATCTGCCTCCTATGATTTCAACCCAGTGGAACTTCTGTGCCCTCTGGGCCCACTCAACATTCTTCCCTCTGCTAATTACATCCTCCAAGTTTTCCCTTCTCCAGGCTACACATTCCCATTTTCTTGAATGGTTCATTATATATTATGGTTTCCAGATTATTGCCTGTAAGGATCACTGTCCTCTGAAAACCATCCTTATTATGATTATCTCCTGAAACAAAGTACCTGGAAAGAGCACAAGTCTACACAGTTAGCCTGACACGTATATATCATGTACATTTCATCATCAGTTTGGTTTACTTCTATGAATGTGGTCAACACCAAATTCATTCCTGTTAATAGCAACATGTTCTTGGCTTACACTGAGTTTGCTGCCAGTTTGTATCTTCTTGACACAAACAGCTGTCCATTCCTGTGGTTCTTTATTACATTGGTGCAGCCTATTTTAATTTAATTTAATTTAATTTATTTATGCCAAGATACAGGTCATTACATTAATCTCAGATAAATTTCGTTTTATAGGTTTTAGTCAATTGAGATCATTCTAAGTCGTAACAACTGCTACATTCAAGATATGATTATTTAGCACGCATTCAAACTAGACTTCAAGGGTTTCACAAGCACAAAGATCAAATAATGTATTGCTACCTAGATGTTTCAGTTTGGTGTCATCTGCCTGTTAGGTCTTCAGGCTTCAGTCAAGATAAAAACAAACAAACAAAACAACAACAACAAAAAACCCCTTGCTTAGGACAAGGCTAAAACCAAGAATTGTTTTAGGCACAGACTGTCTTCCCAGCAAACAGCTATCATTCAGTGTGCCTGAGAATAAACCCACCCATGGAAGGCTTTATCCAGTGCCTTGCTGAAATGTCTCTGCCACGCAGTAAATCTGTCCTGATAATGAAATTAGTTGGCATGAATTTTTTTTTAATGAAACAACATTGACTCTTGCTCACAAATCATTTGTGTAATAGCTGTCTTAGAATTTTGGTAAGGTCTATTTCAAGCTATGAGTCTATAGTTTCTGGAGTCTAGCTTTAGTCTTTTTTAAGAACTGGGGCAATATTTACTGGTCTCCAGGCTGCCCTCATTTCCCCCGCCCTCGAAAGAGTACCAGTCAGAGATCTTATCAACCAGTTCCTTTAATCCCCTGAGAGAATACATCTTGGCTCAGAGACAGTTAAATACTTTTCATGAATCTTGGACAGCAACCTTTTCCCTATAATATTCTCATCTTTCCTGTTGGAAGGCTATTCTTATTGCAATAGAATATGCAAGATTTCTTCCCTAAATATTGAGATCTAACTATTTCTGGGTTTGCTACTTTCTCTGAACATAGCTTTTGATTCATCCTTGGCTATCTACTCCTTCTTCCACGCTATTTTCAAGTATAAGCTCTCTAGATGATAACTCAAGATGCTCCGTCAAGTCTTTACATAGCTCTCCCCTTTTTTTATGCCTTAATCATTGAACATATCTATTAAAAGAAAAAAAAATAAAGAACAGAAAGGAAGGAAGGAAAGAAAGAAGGAAGGATTTCTCATTTCCCCTTGGCCAAATTTCCTTTTTTATCATACTTATTATTACCATTATTAACAATAATAAAAACAAGCCAGGCACTACGCTGTGTTATATGCATTAATCTGTAAATTTTACATCCATTTAACAGACAAGGAAACTGAATTTTAGAGAGTTTAAATAATTTGCCCAAGTTTACTCAGTTAAAAATTAGTAGGATCAGACCTTACATTTTGGTCATTTTTGATACCAAAGTCTATGCTCTTAATTGTCCTGATATGTCGTCACTCGTGATCTTGAGAACTGCCACAGCTAAGCCCAGTGTTCAGGTGCTGCTAGGTCTTCGGCGTTTCCTTGTCCCACTGTGACACATTCCAAGGTAAAGGAGGCATGTGCAGAGGTTCACACTATGTTCCGCCTGTGGGAAGTCCGCAGGGTGACGTGGCTCCTCCTTGTACTGAAGCACAGCGTGCCTGGGATTTAACGCAGCACTTGTTCCTGTGAACCCCTCCTGCTCACTAAAAGAGAATCTTTGCCAAGTGGCACATGTATTTTCTGTGATGCGGACCTGGGGAGATGCAGATGAAAAGGAAAAAAGCCCCGCAGAAGGCAGGAGAAAAGTCGGGAGGACAGAGTTGGAGAGAAGGGTTGGGTGAATACACGTAGCAAAGAATGAGGACAGAGGATGGGCAACGTGGTGGCAGGATGATCAGGGCTGAGGGAGAGCCACGGAGTCGGCTATGTGGAAGGCTCCAGAGCAGGTGGGGAGAATGAAGGAGGCTCTTTGAGAAGTGTTTCCAGAGGCCACATTGGCGCTCTCACACAACCCTGCCAGGGAGTCCAATAAAGACCGAGAGAACCCTAGAATCACTGCTGGATGTCTGCGCCACTCCAGTTCAGGCTACGTGAACGCTCAGAGGGTAGCGACGGTACCAGTAAGCCAGAATGCAGGGACCCGGGAGCGAATGCATTTTTGGCTTCATCCACACGGGCCTCTGACGACTTACACCCTTTGGCGTGCCTCACTTTCCCCAACTGCTAAACGAGGAGGAGGATTATCTAGAAGATCCTCTGCAGCGCTGACATCCTGATTCTAGGAGTAGCAGAGATGGTGGGTGACAGATACAAACTTTCTGATTGGGCACCAGCTGTGTGTGGGACTGCTCTCCAAAGCTGTGGGTAATTGCTTGAATTTGGCTTTTAATATTCTATTGTTAGTATCTGATACTTTATATTCTGTAAGGAGCGAAGAGGTTTTGCTGGAAACACAGAGAGGGTAATTTTTGGATTTGTATTAAAGAATCTGAAAGACCTCAATTTTGGAATCTGTGAAATTACACTGCAAAGCTGTTAAATGGATCTGGGTAGGCTAGTCTAGGATAGCAGCGAGACCACAACTTAAAATGCAGCGAGACCACAACTGTCTCTCCTCAAACATATGCTTGAGCAGAAACATTGGCAGAGCCGCTCAAAATCCCTGATGCAAAACATCACTGAGAAAGAACCTCTGACATTTTAACACGAGTTTTTCAAGTGCAGTTTCTTGCTTTAACGATGTTAGTAAAATATTCTACAATTTACAAAGCGTTTTTGTATCTTTTTCCGTATTTAATCTTAAACCCAAATCCCTAAGGAAGGAGGGTACAGAGTATCATTTCAATTTCGGAAGAGGGAGAAGGTCAATGTAGGGGCATGGATTGACCGATGGGGGGTGTGGTGGGGCGTTTGGCCTCCCAAACCAGGAATTCTGTCCACTGGGGATGTGGAAGTCGTCCGTGTGGAGGGAAGAGTTTTGTGGTGATGTTTAATATTAACAGTTCATGAAATAGACTTACAATTACCTGTGTTCCAGAAGAAGGAGGATGGGGGGGGAGGGGAAGCGAAAGAGGAGAAAAATCACTAGCTAAGCCATCTTTCACAAAGTGGTCTAAAGGTTATGTGTGTCAGAATTATCTTGGGAAGCTACAATAAATTCAGATTCCCAGGATCCACACCTGGTCTCTGTCAGTAGGGGTGGGAAGGCAGGGGTCAGGTGGGGCAGCAGACATCTGTATTTTTTTTTTAAGATTTTATTTATTTGAGAGAGAGAGCAAGTGAGCACGAGTATGTGCACACGAGTCAGGGGAGGGGTAGAGGGAGAGGGACAAGCAGACTCTCCACTGAGCAGAGAGCCCAGCGGGGGGGCTCAATCTCAGGACCCTGGGATCATGACCGAATGATGCTTAACCGACTGAGCCACCCAGGTGCCCTGACATTTGCATTTCTAAAAAATGCTCTTGGGTAATTCCCGGGCACATAGGAGTATAAGATTCCCCGAGCAGGTGCATAATCCAGTTATTGTACTCACACCTGAGGCAGCGCTTCGGGCCAGAGACTTAGGGGGCTGCAAAGAGGAAGTACAGGTGAGCAGTAAGGGCCAGAGCTATAGCGTGAGGCACTCAGAGATGCTCCACGAGGGATCAGAGTGGAAGCCCCGAAAGGCACACAAATGGCGCATTTTAGCAAAGTGGATGGGGGAGATAGTTACTGGTTTTTATGACATTGATGATGAAGTAAGATTTGATGGTGAATCATAAATATGAGAATTTAACAACGTAAAGAGCTACACAAAGCAATTTTTGGTAGGTGTTCTTTATGTGATGAAAAAATAGAATGCTTCGGTACAAATAGCTGATAAAAATTAATTGAATTGTCTAGAAACAGTGAGCACATAGACTTGTACCAAGTTATCAGTAAGTTCACAATCACTCAAAAGTCAAGGTCCTAGGCCAATTTCTTCATTTGTCTTTAGATTTACTATCAACCAGAATAGAATATGGACTCTGAGAGACCCAGTATTTCCCAAACATGGGATGTGTTGCCCAGGTGATATGTCAAACAATGGGCACAGCATTCAATAATTTGAATCACACTAAGGGTATTTGATACTTCTTCCACTCATTCTGCTTATTTTATTTTCTTTATATATATTTTTTAACGATTTTATTTATTTATTTGACAGCTAGAGAGAGAGCACTAGCAGGGGGAGCGGCAGATAGAGGGAGAAGGAGTAGCAGGCTCTCCACCGAGCAGGGAGCCCAACCCGAGGCTTGATCCCAGGACCCTGGGATCATGACCCGAGCGGAAGACAGCCGCTTAACCGAGTGAGCCACCCAGGCACCCCTCATTCTACTTATTTTAAAGAGAAAGACTCAGTTGCCCCCCACTCTGGCTTTAGCAAGCTTCTGATACCTAACAAATGGAGAGCAGGCCTTAGGCTCAGAGCCTGTGG